CCTTTTTATAATGTTGACAGTGTTTAATCTATTATGTTTTGATTGATATAGATTAGTTACATGTCCGAATTATAAACAACGCATAGTGAAAACGTTATAATAACAGTAGATAAGACTTTTGTTTGAATGCCTGTGATTCAGCCGTACGTCAGTAGGGGGCGAACGTGGGCATTGAAGACTCTGTATAAATGGATYGATTTCCGGGTGGACCGGCAGTGTGTGGTTTCCTGTCACATCCAAATGGCAGTAAACCCCACTCCAGAATTCTGGTTTTGTATGGCTTTATCTCGTCTAACAATCATATTATTTAACATTGGTGGTTTTCTACTGACTTCAGTCTTTGAACATGAATATTTCTTRCAGAATTATGAAAAGAAATTTGCTCAATGGAAACATATCAATTTTGAAAGAACTTATGTTTTTCGAATAAATGGTTTTGCGCTAGGATGAGGTGGTTTTTCGGCCGTATCAAAATTGATGTATTTCGCAAAACTGCAATGGAAACATTTTATTTGCATCACGGGAGTCACCTGATCAAGAACCGGCTGTTTCTAGTGGCGAAAAAGACGAMGAAGAAGAAGACAACAGGAAGTAGAAGTAGTAGTAAAATCACCGAAGTTGTAAAAGAAAGTAGTAAACTCAAAGACTAGTTTCCCAAAAACGCTACATTAGCTGCTCCAGAGTATAAGGGGCTTGTCGTTCAAAAGCTTCGATAAGACGCCGTCTCCTCTGATGATGAGCGCTAGTGTCATGGTAGCAATATGCTATGTGTTTACATCCATTGCCGCCATGTTTGTAATGACTTATCGCGAGAACAAACGTATTCGCACGTGACTTTAATAGCATTTCTTACTTAATGGAAGCACCGCAATTGCAAACTGTGTTTTCGACATTAACAGAATATCGACAAAGTTTTRCACACATTTGCAATGAAAGCAGAGCTTATGTCCCATCCAAATTTCATGCTGATTGGTGCAGCAGTTTCTGTGCTACAATTGACCAAAAATCGTTTAAAATAAATAAATAAACATACGGCACAAATACAAAGTACAAAAACAATATGACCCCCACTTTGCATGTGGAGGTCATTATGATTCATGACAGCACATGAGGCAGAACATATTTTAGTTCATTTCAACTGTTAGTGATGTGTTTAAATGAGAAATAGAAGGTTTTTAAAAGGTAAAATCTGCTTCCTGAACAGACAACAATGACATGTTGGTCTCTCACCTTCAGGTCRTACTCCTGCCGGGTGTCGAGGGTGTCACTGCGCAGGTCAGACTTCAGCTCGATATCGTCTTTAAAAGGCTGATTGGAGGGAGAAAAGGACACAGAAGGGAGAAACTAAACCGTCAAACAACAAAAAAACAAAAGGAAAAGGAGTGAAGAGGGAGTGATAAAACACAGGAGGGATGGAGCGAACAGAGTGTGAGAGGAAAAAAAAGAGAAAATGGGATTAAGAGTTAAAAAGGAGCGAGTTAAAAAGGAAATTTGGTTTTAACTTAAAAGTACAGTGCAGTTCGTGAGAAGAGTTATTTTGAGTTTTTGTTTCTCCACAATTACAGGTCGTAAAAACAGACGCTAGCCCAAACACAAACACCTCGTCGCCACCGCTCACCGAGTACATGGCCTTGACCATCCGTGAAGCTGTGGACACGCTGCCCGAGTCCTCCTCCAAGCTGTGGGTCTCCTTGTTTATGGTCTCCACCTTGATGTCAGGTTTACCCAGCGTGACCCCGCGCCTGCCTGGAAAACAAACCGCAGCCAGGGTGAGCCCAGCTGGATACACACTTTTCAGTTTAGGGTGGTTTCTCATCAGCAGAGGAAGCTGACTTATTTGGTTTAAAGCCTGCGTGAAAAATTTAAAGCTCCATAAAAAAAAGACAACTGAAAAGACTATTTTTACTTCTACGTGAAGGCACACAGAGTATGACTCACTGCCTTTGCGCTGCCGGTAGAAGATAAGGACAAGAACCAGCAGGAAGATGAACAGGAGGATGGTGGAGCCCACCGTCCCAACGGCTATTATCCCCACTGGAACCTCCTCTGTAATGACAGGGTGAAAGAAACAGAGAAAGAGAGGGAAAGTTAGGGCTTCTATTGCCTGTCCATCACTGCACAAATAGAATATTCACAGAAAATACACGTTTTTTTATATATAAAATGTGTAGTTATTCACACAATCAGTCCAGCTTTATTTGTTTAGCTCATTTAATGAATGGCAGCCCAGTGTGTTTTCCAATTAAAATAAATTTCAATTTGAATGTGCAATAAACTACACCTGCAAACATAAAAAGATTCATACAGACATACAGTTGAAACCAGATGACTACATACACAAAAAAGGACACAAAACCACTTTTTCTCATTGTTTGACTTTTAATCAGGGTTGCCAGATCGGAATGACAGTTTCCAGCACAAACACAACGTAAAACCGGCCCAACCTGCCCAAATCTCAACCTCTGACTGTGTGTGCAGTATAAAAAAGTTTAGATTACTGATATAGCCTACACATGTGTATATTATACTAATAAAAAATACACCATTAGCAAACATCTGCACTGAATCAGTATTTACGGTTTTTGTAGCTCTGAAAAGACAGTGTTAGAGAGAGTGACGCTCATCTTTAGACTGAAAACTTGTAAAGAAAGAGATGGGAGATGGGGGTGGGTAAAATGTTTGCTGCAAGCTTACRCACAAGAAAAGTCAACTAATAACCCTCATTTGGAGGGCTAGGGCTTTTCCTCTCCACTGTCACCAGTGTGCTGCTCAGGATGGGAGACTGGATGAAGTGATTCAACACAATCTGCTGGCTTCCTTAGATTTGATTGATTTTTTCTACAATGCACTGAGACAACATTTGTTTGACTCATTTTGTATAAATAAACTGAACTGAATTGAAAAAAATTAGTCCAGGTCAGTCCCATGACTTGTTCCACTGTGGATACCTCTGACCAGCTTCACAAGCATCTTCATTTCAGATTTGATGTGCACTTTTTGAACCAATGGTGATTTTGTTGGTTTTTAGTGCACTGTAAAAAATGAAATGTTGGATTTACTTAACCATGTTATGTTACCTGGTTCCACTTAACTGGGTTGAGTAAATTCAAAGCAATATACCAGTTTTTTAGCCAAAGAACATGAGTATGTTGCTTTGAATTTACTCAACTCAGTTAAGTGGAACCAGGTAACATAACATGGTTAAGTAAATCCAACATTTCATTTTTAGAGTGTGGTTTTAAGTTCTGTCTCTGTCCTTAGTATCATGGCAGGAAATTTACATGGTGTTTGTTTACTTGTGTAGAATTACCTGAAAAGATGAACGAGGCACCTTCAGGTATCTGGATATTGGACCCGAGGGTGAACCAAAGGTTGAGAATTCTCTTTCTGATATCTTGGCTCATTTTTATTTTTAAGAGTGAACCTTAAATAGATTCACAAGCCTGCCTCCAATTAACTCAAATGTCATCAGTTAACCAAACGAAACCTTCCAAAGCTATGACATCATTGTCTGGGCTTCCCCAAACTGATTAAAAACATATTAATCTTAGTGTAAATAAACTTATGAGTTCTGTTTTGTCTTTGTTTAGTTGGAAGAAGGTGTATGACAGACTCAGAGAGTTTAAAGGATATACATCATCCAAAGATAAGGAAATATACCACTGTAAATCATCTGCATAATTCTGATAGTTTCCATTATGTTTCTAAATGACATGTACAAGTAGAAGCATAATACAGATTTAATTAAAATGGACCAAGAACTGACCCTTGTGGTACACCACAAACAACACACTTCCATCACCAAAGAACTTCTAATATAACTTGTGTTTGAAACCAGTTAAAAACTGGACTAGAGAAGCTAAACCAGGTTTCTAACCTGTCTAACAAGATACTATTATTAACTGTGTCAGAAGTGGAACTGAAGTCCAGAAGTTCAAGGACAGATATTTTTGCAAAATTAGGTATTATGTGCAAAWTATTTACAGCTTTAACGAGTGCTCTTTCTGTACTGTGAATACACCAAAACTAGACTGACAAATATTTAAGTCATTGTTAGACTGAAGATAACTCTGAATCTGAATGTAAAACAGCTTTTTCAAGTWTTTCACTAATAAAATGTCAATTTGAAATAGGTCTATATTTAGAGATTACATTTGGAACTAGACTGTTCTGTTATTTTCCATGAGATATCAGCCTATATTTTCCTCCAAATTCTTGAAAATAAACCCACCAGTCTCCTCCAGAGAGATAATCATGGTTCCAGGGCCAAACGAGTTCCAGGCTGTGCAGTTGTAGGTGGACAGGAAATCGGACTCCATTACGTTGTTGATGGTGAGCGTGGAGAGGACGCCGCCTCCCTCGGCTGATGGTTTGCTTTGCTCCACTGTGTACCTCTCCAGCAGYGTCCCCTTCTCTTTCTCCCACACGTTTTCCTTCCAGGCCCAAACCTGCAGCACAGACAAGAAGACCCCATTGAAACCAAGATGGTGGATGTGTCCAGGTAAACGGGGAGTGTGGTAAAAAGTTGAAGATGAGTGGATGGAGAAAARTTTCAGGAGGGATTTGTAACAAAAGGGAAGCAGTAAAGGTCAAAGGAAACGTTTACAAGAGAGTAGAGCTGGGCAGTTTACCAGTTCATACCAAATAAACAGTTTTTTTTTTTTGTTATTTAAATATTCTGAATACTGTGTTAATTTTGGTTAGAGGCAATGGCTATTTTAAGTCAGGCATTCTCCAAAACTGTACTCAATTTTACATGTACGTTCACCTAATAGACCATTTCGTAGTTAGAAGTTAACGCAAATGCGCAAAGCGGGCCTACCTCTGGAAAAAGCTGAGATTGCTATGGAAATGCCATTGTAACGGCACAAATTCAACAGGTAAATTTACGCTGTTATACAGACCCAATGTATTTGCTCTAAGCTGATTTGTGTTACACTTTCCTTAGATGAGCTTTTTCATGAATATCTAAGCTGGGGATGCATGATATATTGGCATTAACTTCAGTTTTGGTCCGATAAGTAAAACTGGGTTGATGTTAACGTCCGATGTAAAGTTTCCACTTTTTTTATTTTTCTGTTTCTGTTTTGGGAAAGGAAACGGTTGGTCGAGTGATATTTGTTTGATCACGATAGTGCTGGGTTCACACCGAACGCATTTTTGAGCAGCAGGAGCRTCTGGTTTACGWGCAAAGTCTATGGTGGATGCGCGTCTAGAGGTCTCGCGGTGCGTCTAGCCCATTTATCTTGGCGTGACGGTTTCCTGAATGTTGCTCACTAACATGAAACARACGAACAGGAGATCTTTAGCTGAAATCGATCATCTGTATTTGGTGTTCTGGCTGGAGATATCGGCACCGATGTGGGTCAGCGGCTCGTTAAACTGATAGTGGTGTTAAACTGGGCTCGGGACAAAAACTGTTTGTCAGCTCGCAGCTCCTGGAGTGGTGAAACTCACCAAACAAACCGCCTCTAAATTATTTGGTGAATTAMTTATCTGGTCTAGCACAACGTTCGCTTGCTCTCAGTAAATCAAGCAAAGCCATTTTCTTTATTTCATCTTTATTTTATCCCTCATTAAAGACAGACTGGAAAAAAATCAGGATGTGCGTCTAGTCTCTGTTCTGGTCCGAACATAGTGCGTTTTAGATGCTGAACACGCGTTAGGTGTGAACGTAGCTTTAGTGATGCTGCACAGCTAGGAATAACTGAAGTAGAGAGACATGTCAGCGGTCTGGTCATTTTTTTATGGGTGAAAAAAGACACAAATGTATTTGTGAGTATATGTATATAATATATATATA